TTACGAATTTATTATACTGTTTTTCTACATTTATTATACGTTTTTTAAACGTATTATTTCCGTATACTTTCCTTATACATATTATTTATAGGGTAATAATCAGCAGAAATTAGACTGTATTTCAGCTAATATTCAGCAATTTAAAAAAGTAATGAAATGGATCATTTCAACTAGTGTAAAGGTAATACTAATACTATTCAAGATATCAATATTTTAAGGTTAGAAGATAAGATTGAACAACTTAAGACTCGTATTTATAAATTAACTGATCTAAGTCAGAAAAAAGGTTTCAAATAATAAAGAAATATTAGATATGAAGTACACAATACAAGCAATATTAGATAGATGATTTGAGACATCATACTTTTTAGCAAGAATTCAGATAATATAGGAGTTATTCTTCCAGATAATATAAGAGAACAATATGATAGAGTTGGTACATGTTTGACTAATATTATTATTTATACTGGTATAATTTATCAGTTTTGGCAAGATCGAAATATGGTAGTAGAATAAAGTGTTCAACAAGCTAGAAATCTAGGGAAACAATTGCAAGAATCAGAGCAAGTTCACAGAATAATAACTAAATACTAACATAAGCTCTAAATAATGAAGCAAATAAGCGTCAGGTATGGTAGCTTAGAACACAAAGAACAAAAAGGTTTAACCACATATTATTACAAAAAAAAGTAGTCCTTCAATTAATAAATTGAAGGCACAAAATTAAGGCTGACTTAGCAAAATTCAACTGGATCTAGGTATTTAATCAGTATTAAAAATGGAAAGCTAAGGAAATAAATTCATGACAAATTGTTTTGAATTTACAAATAAATCCTTCAGGAAATATGGCTACGTTATCAGATATTTTAAATTTAATAGCCTCATTTTTAGCTTAAATATTACAATACATTAGTCAAAAGCTTTCAGATGACTATTATAATAAGATTATACAGGCAATTAATTATGGTAATACGTTAGGAGTTGTAGGATTTGATAATGTTATGAAAGTTAATATATTAGCAGAAAAGATGGTAAGAAGGTTTACTTCACCTAATCCATTCAATAATACTGCTGAAAATACTGATAATACTTTACAATATTTATAGTATGGCTTAGAAAAACATATTGTGTAATAAAACTAGGTTCAGCACAGCCTTTTATGAAAGTGTTTATGTTTGATAAATTCTTTTCTATTGATATTCCAGAAATATATGAAAAATGGAATAGACCACATATAGATGCTTTACTATTTACAAATACTTTACTTATTCTTTATAGTCATTTATCTGAAAATTTGAAATTACAGATTAAAATTGGAAATCCAGCAGATCTAAATACCTTTTTACCTAACTTAATGATAAGTGGTTAGAAACTAAAAGGTGTATAGGTGTTTTCTCCTACAGTAAAAAAACTCTATCACATTCATCTATATAAAAAGGTTCGTAAACTGAATATGAATTTGTAATTCATCTTGCAAAGGATTATGATTATTTAAGTGTAACAATAGATATCTCAACCATAGGATCACATATCAATGATGAACTTGATAAAAGGTTAGGACGAAAAGTATCTCATGTTGAAAGAAGCCCCTTCTTAGAGTTACAGGTTAGAAATACAAATATTACAAAGAAAGCTATTAGAAATGTAATATAAAAAGCATCAGTTAAAAGAATTGTCTTTTAAAAAGTTATTTATCATTGCTCAGTCTATGAAAAGACTAGCTATACAAAGATTAACTGCCCTAGAGTTAAGAGGACTAAAAAGGTTAATTATGTATACTAAAATGCTGAAAAAGATCCTGAAGACTTTGAAAAGCCTGAAATAGTATATATAGTTGAGAAAGAAGTTGAAGAAAATAATAAATATGATGATGATAATGAATCTGCTTTAAACGTCTTAGCTAAAATTGCTATGCTATAAAAAAAAAAGTGATGCAAAATAGTATATCTATAAAAAAGGCTTACAAAAAGGAATCCCCTACTTTCAAGTCTCATAAAAAAGTAGAATACTCAGCATCCATAGCCATGATTATAAATTATGTTTTTCTAATAGCCTTAAATCTATATTATCATTAGTTTTATATTTCTAAAGAAATTCTTAAGAAAGGCTATTAATATATTAATACAATATATTAAAAATTGAAGATCAGATTCTGAATATGGTTATAAAAGATTATACGGTTATAAAAAAAGAATAAGCATGGGAGATTATTACAAATAAAATTAAAGATATTTTGTATTCACTATTCCAAGACATAAATACAGAACAAAAACTTCTTATTTAAATCCTAATAGAAGAAAAGCTAGAGTCAGATAATCTCATAAATGATATAATATCAGTAGGTTCTAATACTCTAAATTATGCTATTAAAGCATATACTCAATATCATTTGACTAAAAAAAAAGTAATATGCAAAGCATTTTACAACTATTCCTATATACTGGCCTAAATCCTTAAAGATAAATTTTTCTAAATAAAGAATGCTGATAATATTGTGACTATCTTCTGTAAGATGGAAGAAGTAATTATACCTTATGCAATAATTGATAGTGGATTAGATTTATCAATAATCTTAGAAACTGTTGCAAAGTATTTGAGACTTAAAATAGATAGGAAGAATTTTCATAAGCTTATAGCATTGCTAGTAAATCACAATCTTTTAGAACAATTGATGATGTCTCAGTAACTATTAATGATGTGTAGATAAGTCTACTACTTTGGAAGAATATTCAGTTATTTCCACAGAAAAAGATAACAATAAAAAATAATTATCCCTATTTATTCTTAATATACAATGGCAACATCAGGTAGGATAGGAATCCTTAATAAGAGAAAAATTTATAGTAACTCATGATGAAAAGACTATTACTATTTTTTTATCAGTTCATAAATTCTAGCATAATATTTTTACAGTAGAAAAAGATCTAAAGTCTATAAAAAAACTAATTATGCATATGAGATGAGTGCTAAGAAAATGGACTAAATTATTTTTTTTAAAAAAATGTTTCTAAGTAAAATAGATATAGATTTGGTCATCTGATTTAGATCATTTATTATTTCAAAAAGAATTTTTGTCGATTAGTCTCTTTTCAGCATCCAATCCATATATCCTAGTATCGTAAAAAAACAATTTTAATATCTATTTAAGCTTAAACAGCATTTAGGAAGATTTCATATAATAAAGATTTTTTTCAGCAATACTCAGAAAATATATTATATCTATTCAACTATCTTTGGTATGAAGTATTTGGAAGACTTATATAAACATATGACCAGAAAGTATATTTTTTCAGTTTGATATTATCATACCATCTTCTTCATAAATTTTGAGTATCCTTTTCATAAAGCTAGTTGATTCTATAGTATTATTATATAACAAGGATTAATATCTTGAATTCCTTCATTATAAGCTATAATTGACTGATTCTTAGTATAAATAATATCTTCCAATATCTTTATAGTCTTTTTGTAGAAGCAAGTTTTTTTTCAAAGCATTTTATCCTTTTAATCTGAGAAATAATAGTAAATAACTTGCCAATTTCTCTATCTTTCTACACCATAGCTTTTCTAATGTTGAGATATGAGATTTGTATTGTTTTTACATATTATTAGCTTGTAAATTATAATAATTTTTTAGCTGATGCTTAAAGGAATATGTTGCCTATTTTATATCTATCATGCATTTATTATATTCATCTTTTAGGTGATCCTTAAAAGCATCATACTCATTTTTAAATGTTTGCATTTCTCACTAATCTGGATATCAATTGTATTCTCAATATTATTTTTCTTCTTTTTTAGTAAAGCCTCATACTCTTCTAATTGCTTCTCAAATCCATCCAGTCAGGACAATATATTAGAATCATCCAAGGCCAGTGTTGTCATGGGACATAGTTAGGACACTGATGGGACACTGATGGGACAGATGGGACATTATGGACTTATATGGGACATAGTTGGGACATATAGTTGGGACATATAGCTGGGACAGCAAATGCTTGGGACATAGGAAATGGACATCAATGTCCAAGGCTGTATTTGTTGTATTTGCTTTAATCTTAATCTTTTGGCAAATCTTTTTTCTAAAATATCTATTAATCTCACTTATAAGCATCTTCTTAATATCTAAATGTATACCTATAGCCTGTTTCATAGATAAGGGATTATTTTTGCAGGTTATAAATCATAAATATACATTTCTTTTACAGATAAGGGTAATTGCTTAAGCAAATTATCATAATGATTATTAAAATTAGGTTGGCTAAACATCTACTTTGCAAATATTACTAACTAAAATTCCTAGAAAATAAATATTTAGGAAGTCTGAAAATTTTCAGAAAGATAGGATAATTCATAACTTTCTAGTAAAACTTCTTGTTTAGAAATTGCTAAAAAATTAGAGACTGTTATTTTTCTAGGAAAAAATAATGTCAAGAAATTCCTAGGAAATTACCAGATATTGTGACAGAATATGTTTGCAAGCAAATATCCAATCCATCTAAAATTTACTATATAAGTAATACAAGATAAGAATATTCAAAGAAGACTAAGATTGTATATATCTAATCAGTGAAAGTCAAGATATTATCCTTCAAAACTCGGGTAAAAAATATACTTTATATTAGGTTTTAGCTAATTAGATCTTCTGGATTTATTATGCTAATATTATGCCTCCAAACTGATGATCAACCCTACTTCAAACATATTTCAACCCTACTTCTACCTTACTTCAACCTTACATTGAATGTTAATTTTGAAAGATAATATCCTAACATTCTGTAATTGGATTTATGTTATTTTAGACTTATTTAAAAGCTCTTATAAAATTTTATTTATATACTTAAATTTTAGATAAATTGAATTAATAGTTGATAAAATATTTCAGTTTAAACATAGTGCTTTTTTTAACTATACATATGAATAACATGTGAATATTATGTAACAATCTTTAACTATACTTTAATTATACTTTAACTATATATTAGATTAGATTTCTTTAATATCAGCTATAGTTCTGAAGACCATTTACATTTATTGAAAAAATATTGCTAAATAAATAAGGATGCTTCTCAAGACATTTATCAATAAACATCATACTCTAAAAATATCTAAATTACTTAAAGCTATCTTTAGCTTTCTTAATAGAAAAAATCTTTATAGAAGTTGTACTAAAGTAAATCAACAATAAAATGCTATATCTATATATATTATTCAAAAAAAGGAAAGTGAGTTTATTAATATTTTCAGCATTTGTGATAATATTCCTTTTCATCTATTTGATAATAATAATAATGCTGAAATTAATAAATACTGTAATATATGTAAATTATGGAATAAAATTCCTTATATATTTATATAAAAGAGATTATTATTTTAGTTATCTTGTAACAATTTGACAATTTGAGTGATTCCTAAAAATTGATTATGTTATTAGATGCTTTGAATATTGAAAGGCTAGAAGGCATCTTTCTTGTATTATAGTATACTGATTAGTTCTGAGCTTAGCCTATAAAGTAAATATGCTAGTAATTATTATGTGATCTAGTATGTTAATAAGCTTTAAGATAGTACAAGAACTCAGAAATCAGTTTGCTCAAAGAAAACAAGTAAATTTAAAGCATTCTCTTATTTAAAAGCAACCTATGAATAATTATAGAGATAAGTTTATAGAGCTTAATATCACACTCTATTAGAAATGGTTTATTTCAATTGAAAAAAAAGAAGAAGAACATTATAATGAGTATATACTCTTATAAATTTCAGAATAATGCTATGGTTATTAGATAAAAAGTTTGATATGCTAATTTTTTTTAAAAATTTATACCTATCTTACTCTTATACCTTAAGTACTGTGAGAGATAACCAATTTTGCTTGCTTATCCTATTAGCTTATTTAGCTTATTTAGATAGCTTTTTTTTAAATATATATAAAAAATTTACACTTTGTTCAAATTTTTTTATACCTAACCCAAAAAAATTACACTTTATCCAAATTTTTTTTTACATTTAACCTGAAAATTTACATTTTGCCTAAATTTTTTTATACTTAAGGCTAGACTTAGCGACTCTAATTTTATGAATATGAATCAGCTTTAAAATAGTTTTC